GTTGTGTCCCCATTCTCATTGATTTTTAGGAAGTCCTTAATTTCTTTCTTTATTTCTTCTTTGACCCAGGTATGGTGCAATTGTGCATTGTTCAATTTTCATGAGTTTTTAGGGTTTCTGTGATTTGTGTTGTTGAATTCCAATTTTAAAGCATGATCTGATAAGATACAGGGGACTATTCCATTTTTTTTTTTTTTTTTTTTTGTATCTTTTGAGGTTTGTTATATCGCCTAGTATGTGGTCAATTTTAGAGAAGGTTCCATGTGGAACAGAGAAGAAGGTATATTTTTTGTGTTTGGATGGAATGTTCTATAGATGTCTGTTAAACCCAGTTGAGACATAACTTCTGTTAGTTCTTTTGTTTCTTTGTTAAGCTTCTGACTGGTGGTCCTGTCTAGTGGTGAGAGTGGTGTGTTGAAGTCTCCCACTATAAATGTGTGAGGTTTTATGTGAGGTTTGAATTCTTTATTTTGTATGTTAGGTGTTTTGATTATTATGTGTCCAGGGGTCTTTTTTCTTTGGTCCAGTCTATTTGGTGTTCGGTATGCTTCTTGTACTTTCATAGGCATGTCCTTCTTCATATTGGGAAAGTTTTCCTCAATGATTTTGTTGAATATATTTTCTGCATCTTTGAGCTGGGCTTCTTCACCTTCCTCTATGCCTATTATTCTTAGGTTTGGCCTTTTCACAGTGTTTCACATTTCCTGGATGTTTTGTGTTGAGGATTTGTTGGATTTACGATTTTCTTTGGTCGATGAATCTATTTCCTCTAGTTTATCTTCCATGCCTGAGATTCTGTCTTCCATCTCTTGAATTCTGTTGGTTAAGCTTGCATCTGTAGTTCCTGATCGTTTGCCCAGTCTTTCTATTTCCAGTATTCTCTCAGTTTGTGTTTTCTTTATTGTCTCTATTTCAGTTTTCAAGTCTTGAACCGTTTCCTTCACCTGTTTAATTATTTTTCTTGGCTTTCTGTACTTTCTTCAAGAAATTTGTTCATGTCTTCCAATTTTTTGTTTGTTTTTTTTCTTCCATTTCTTTAAGGGATTTTCTCATATCATCTTTGAGGGCCTCTATCATTTTTATGACAATACTTTTTAAGTCATTCTCTTCTGCTTCATCTGCTTTGGGGTGGTCAGTTTTAGTTGGTGTAGAGTCCCTAGATTCTGGTGGTGTTATGTTTGTCTTTCTATTGTTAGGTGTTTTCTTATTGTTAGGTATTTCCCACAGCTTCTTCCAGTAGGTGTAGGTAGGGTCTCTCTCTCTCTCTCCCTCTCTCCCTCTCCCCCCCCCTCTCTCTTTGGTACTCCCCAGGTAGGCTTAGGTGGGTCAGAGTTTCAATGTCTGGAGCTCTGGGTGGTCCAATCTCTCTAGGAAGTCTGTCCTCAGGCAGGGGCCTGGCGATGGGGGTCAAAGATCAGGCTCCAGCAGAAGACTGGTGATGGGGGTCAAAGACTAGGCTGCAATTCAGGATGTTCCATGTGCACATAGGCAGATCTAGCCTGGGCCAGCTGAGGCCTCTTTAGCAGAAGCTCGGTGATGGGGGTCAAGGGTCCAGCCCATAGGGGCTCAGAATGGCCCAGAGGGCATAGGTGGATCTCTGGGAGGGGCTAGGAACTCCAGTAGAGGACCGGTGGTCGGGGTCAGAGACCAAGCAAGTGGAAATTACTGGTCGTCTTGCGTGGACAGGTAGGTCTAGTGCGTTCAGAGCAGCTCCAGGAAGTTCCCCGAAGGTGGCAGGATTGTTGGCTCCACTCTCTGTCCCAGTGCTCAACCAGAGAGATGGGACAGTGGACTGGGTAGGGCATAGGGTAGGGGGAGGTAGGCTCTTGGCAGAGGTGGGTGGGTGTATATCAGAGCACCAGGAGTGCTCTTGATGGGGACATGGTACAGGGAGAGTGAGATCCAGGGCCAATCCAGGGAGTTCCCAGGGAAGGGTGTGGGGGGATTCCACCTGAATTGGTCCCAGACTCACCTCTAGCAGAGTTCTGGCGATGGGGGTCAAAGATGATGGGGGTCATCTACAAAGCATGACACATCAAATTATGGTACAACTAAGCATCTCCCAGTGTTACAGGTCTATTTAAACTATTTATCTGACCTTGATTTAATTTTGATGTATGGTATCTATCAAGAAATTGATCAATTTCTTTTAGATTTTCTAATTTTGTGGAGTACAGTTTTTGAACTATGATTTAATGATTCTCTGGATTTCCTCAGTCTTGTTATGTCTGCCTGTGTGTTTCTGACTGTTAATTTGGATATTCTTTATCTGCCTCTTAGTTAGTTTGCATAAGGGTTTTTCTATCTTGTTGATTTTTTTCAAAGAACCAACTCTTTGTCTCATTGATTCTCTATAGTTTTGTCTTTGTTTCTACTTTATTGATTTCAGCCACCAGTTTGATTATTTCCTGTCATTTACTCCTCTTGGGTGTGTTTGCTTCTTTTTGTTCTAGAGCTTTCAGTTGTGCTGTTAAGTTGCTAGTGTAAATTTTTTACAAATCCTTTATGGAGACACTTAGTGTCCCATAAGTTTGGGTATGTTGTGCATTCATTTTCATTGAATTCTAGGAAGTCTTTAATTATTTTCTTTATTCCTTCATTGACACAGTGGTGGTTCAGTTGAGAGTTGTTCAGTTTCCATGAGTTTGTATGCTTTCTGTAGTTTGTGTTGTTGAACTCCCAATTTTAACCCATGGTGATCCAATAATATACAGAGGGTTATTCTAATATTTTTGTATCTGTTAAGTCTTTCTTTGTGACTGAGTATGTGATAAGTTTTGGAGAAAGTTCCATGAGGTGCTGAGAAGAGAGTATATTCTTTGGTGTTGAGATGGACTGTTCTGTAGATATCTGTTAGGTTCAAGTCATAACATTTGTTAGTTGTATTTTTTTTCTCTGTTTAGTTTCTGTTTGTATGACCTGTCCATTGGTGAGAACATGATGGTGAAGTCTCCCACTAGTAAGGTGTGGTGTTTGATATATGATTTAAGCTTTAGTAATCTTTTTTTTCTTCTTCTTTTTTTTCTTTTTTACAAATGTGAATGTCCTTGTATTTGGGGTAGATGCTACTTTCTTTTCATCTAATTAATATTCACAAAAAATAAAAATAGTGATGTTCAGATCTTTTAAAGCTTTCTACATTTGTCAGTGCTGAGTGAAATCACTCATAATCAGGTTGATACCATACCAAAATTTCAAACATCATAATGAAAAATTAGTTCCATTCCCAGCCCTTGAGAATGTCCTAGTCATTGGGCCTTCAAAGTCAGATTACACTAAAGCTAAGGTTTATGAAATATGGTGTAGGTTGGGGCTATTTGTGGCATATTTCAATGTGGTGATTTCCACTAACAGAGATGTTTGTTTTTTGTTTTTCCTGTTGGATTTTTGTTTTTCCTGTCTTGTGCATTCTCAACTGTGTTCTTAGGAACTCTATTTTTTTTTTTTTTTAATGACTTCCTCCAAAAGTGGTTCTGGCTGTTCTCAGAACATACAGAATACACTAGGGAATGTACTTTTTGGGGCTTCTATTGTATTTAACATACATTTGTAGGATATATTTGAGCTTGATTTAGTGTTTCTTAAGCTCATGGATAAGTGTGACATGTCTTAGCATGCTTGCAGGGGCAGTTGAGTCTTCTGAGGAACTCTGCTGTGGAATATAATTATGAGTTCATATGTTGTTCATATGAGTTCATATGTAAGTTAGTCTTTTGATTTTATATATAACTTTATATATAACTTGCATCTAATATAACCATAACTTCAAGTTATATGTCACAAAAATCTATAACATAAAGCAAATTTTGGAGTAATTTAAAAACCGGTATTAATTTCTATTTAGTATGTCTATTAAGACATAAGCAAACCAATGCAAAATATCCTGGCTGTTCATCAAAATGCCTCTTATTTAGACTAAAGTATATCCACAAAAAGGTTAATTGAAATCTTGAAATGAAAAGAAACTATTCATACATTAATGTAGTAAAAATAGCCATGTACCTTAGAGCATTCTAAGATTTTGTGGTTTAAGAGATAATAAAATCCAATAATCCCTATATGTTATTGTGATGTGTCTCAGAAAACAATCTCATTGTCCAAAGTGTTGAATGAAGGTTCAATGATGTCATAAAATAATAAGAGAGTGTGTGATCTCTTTTTATATTGAAAGTTGTTAGATGTAATGCAACACTGTAGTAGATTTTGGAATGTTGTAAATATTGCTTCCTTAAGTAAAAGAAGCTCTCAAGATTTTGATTTTCATTTTTCATTTAATTTTTAAAAATTTCACATATTGATCTGAACCAGATCAATTCTCACCTGTCTATAAAAATCCATGTTACGTGCCTGCATGTGACTCTGGGGTGCAGATATGTTGAGGGTGGAGAGGACTTCTAAGCGGCTGCTAACTCAGTGGATATCACCCTCAAGGAGCTCAGCATTAGAAAAAAAATGTGTTTATGTGACCTTTGACAAATCACTTAACCTGTGGGTTCCTTATCTACAAAGTGATGGTTTTACAAGGAATGTTGAACTGTGTAGCATTTTATGTGTATGAAAAATGTTCTCTATCTGTGAATTCAGTAAATCCTTTGCAACCATAAGCAATCTTGAGACTTTTTTTTTTTTTACATGTAAAATGTGTTGGTAGAAGTTATTGCTATTAGCTGAAGCCTTTTTAAGTATGGAATTCACAGTTCAATAATCATGGATTAAATTGTGTATGTTTTTGCATTTTTTAAAACTAAGAAACAAACAAACAAACAAACAAACAAAAACCTCAGGAATTTGATCATAGGAGAAAGTCGTGGAATAAGTGAAGATAATTTAAGAGTCTCGATATTTGTATATAAAGATCAAAATAAAATAGTATTTTCTCATAATATTACAACATTGTGGTTTCATCAGTAAAGAAAACTTAGAACATATAGATAACTGTTTTAAATGCCATTTCCAAAATGGCCCCTTCAGCCGTGACTCATTCTGTTTTGTAGTTTTCACCATCCCCTGCAGAGCACCTGACACAGATATCTCAGTTCACTAGCTGCTTTAATTTTAGCCCCTCTGCATCACAGCAGGTTTGAGGCTCAAGAGTGGTGAAATCCTAGCCAGTGTTTTCTCGTTCTTTTTTTACCCCTGTTGACAAAAGCGAGGGTTGGTGAATGTTAGAACCCAGGGGGAGTTAAGAAGTGCGACTGATAAGGATCCAGGCTTCTGCTTTCTGGTTCAAATCCAGTTCTTGAAGCCATCCAGCCTTTTGAGAACCACTGCTAATTAAAGCACTGTCTGCTGATAATGTAAGTCCGGGATGCGCTGTTTGAATAGCTCTTTGGTTGTAGCTGTGTGTGTGATGGCGAATGCGAGGTGGATGGATTGCAGGCTGTAAACTCAGCTTTCAAAGTGACATTTAGAGCACACAGTATGAGGGGGAAAATATGTTGCAAGTTTTCATCGTGGGAATTACAATTATGTGTAAGTTCAGTCCCAAGCACGATTCCCCGTAGGGGATGAGGAATAGATGATCACCGAGGTGGAATTACATTGCTACATGACCTTCATGAAAACAGGATGGTTTCAGAGACTTTCTGCAGAATAGCTGTGGTTTAATTGCTGGCCTGTTGCAAATGCTTTCTACCTAAACACCTCCCAAGGCTCCTTTCAGGAGCTTTCTGAGTTAATGCGCATTTTCTTGCATGGGTAGCCTCTGGGGAACAAACTCCCACCTCCTCATCTTATTCTCCAAAATAGGCCTGTGCCTTTGTAAATATCAGGATGCTGCGATCCAGGGATCGCCTTATGATTTTAAACTTGATAACCTTCATCTTAGAAGATCAGAAAGCCAGAAAGCCAGTAGGATTGCTTTTTCAAGCCTGCTATAATTTCTCTGGGGACATCATGTCATAGTGTGAGGCTGAAGGCAGAAAATGTCAGCATGAATTAACAAGCTTATTGCAGAGAGTGGGGTTCTCTTTAGCCTGTGGGAAGTGAAATAAAATCTTTACCAATAAAATCTTTACCATTCTGGTTTCTTTTTTTTTTTTTTTTTAAGTTGGCTCAGCTTCTCAGCTGGGAATTCCTGCAGATTTTGTCATGCTTTTTGCTCTCCTTCCCTGTAGGTATATTTATTCACCCACCCACCCACCCACCCACCCTTCCATACATCCATCCATTCATCCTTCCCATTCATATGAATGCATTCATTCCTCAGTCTAAATGCATTGATTCATTCATCCATACAGCTGGGCAGTATCTAGTTTGTTCATTTCCTGGCTACTGCTACTGTTATGTCTGAGGTACAGAATGAGGTGCTCCCCTTAGACTTCCACAGAACTCTTTTATAAATTTAAGAGCACCATAGTGGAGGCTCTGTGGGATTTTCTTTCCTTGACTGGAAGGAACCCTTAGGGTTTATAAAGTACCCATTAGAGTCTTTTCTTCCTTCCTTCCTTCCTTCCTTCCTTCCTTCCTTCCTTCCTTCTTTTCTTTTTCTTTTTTTTTTCTCTACAACTCAGCTTCATCCCACAGCTCAGTTCTATTTCTTGTTCCCCAGGAAACTCTCTTCTCCTGCCAGATCTCTTAATTTTAAAACTTCCCTTTGAGTGGCCAGGAGACACTTGCTTCACCCATCAGACATCTTGGACAAGAAGCTCCTTGATTTATTTTCAAACACTTTATTCATTTTTGGCGTGTGTGTGAGTGTGTGTGTGTGTGTGTGTGTGTGTGTGTGTGTGTGTGTGTGTGTGTAGGTAGAAGTTCTCCTGGATCTGGAAATACCAGCAGTTTGAGTCTTTCAAGCATAGGTACTTGGAACCAAACTCAGGTCCTCTGCAAGAGCAACACATGGCCTTAACCACTGAGCATCTTCCTACCTGCCCCAATTCATTTTTATAGCTTTTTCTCAATGTTTTATTCACGTTGGAGATTCTTTGCAATTAATAAGCAATGAATGTCACTTTTAAAATTCTAATTTTAGATTTTTATTTGGTCATTGAGGTAGAGCACTGATATGCAGTTCAGGCTGGCCTAGAACTCCTTGTATATCCCATGCTGGCTTTGACTCCAACTCCCTTCTCTCTTAGCCACCTGATTGCTAAGATTAAAGTGTGTGCCATCAGGCCTGGGTTGTTGTACAATTTTATTCTGTATCAGGAGATGCTATAGTCAGAATGTGTCCCCTCTAACTAATTTGAACTAGCCAATGGGGTGCTATGGAGGACTGGGGTTCTTTATGGGTGTGGATAATTAAGTTATGTGGTTAGAGCCCTAATGAGTGAGATTAGGATCTTATTCTTCTGTGTATGAGGACAGAACAACTCTCTTTTTCTTTTCTGCCATTTATTCATTCCTCTATGTGAGGACACATGGGAGTCACCATCTCTACTAAAAAATAAGCCAAGCCTTTACCAGACATAAAACATTCAGTGCCTTGATCTTGAACTCCGAGCCTCAGGGCTGTGAGAAAGTAAAGTTCTATTCTTTATAAATGATTTAGACTTAGGTTCTTGGTCAAGCAGCACACATGAAGAATGATGTTCACAGCATTGTGTGAAACTATTGTGTAAACTATCACCTGGCATGCCAACATACATAGATCTTAAAAATTCAAATTCTATTCTCATGTACTGGATTGACTTCCATATTTCATCCATCTCTGTTTTCTTTGAGTTGCTTGCCTGTAGTTTTAACTATTCTCTAAATTCTTTAGAAGTTATTCTATACCTTTTCATTAAGGGCTGTTACTATGGGATCTCTACTTCTTGGTGGTGATATGTTATTATTTTTATTTCTGAGTTGGGATTTCTACATTCAGAGCTACTGTCAGTTGATAGCTTCTGGGAGAGGGATAGTCACTTTTCTATGGGTGTGTCCTCTGGTGGGTAGACTACTCTCCAGTGAAGGCCACACACCCAGGAGTATATAGCAGCAAAAACTATAGTTGATATGTTAAGAACAAAAGAGAGAGCACAATTTGGGTAAGTGGGAAAGAGGATGGATCTGAGAGTACTGGGGGAAGGGATGGAAAATGCATTATAAAATATTCTTAAAGAACTCGTTGGTGGCACAAGCTTTTAATCCCAGTTCTCAGGAGGCAAAGGCAGGTGGATCTCTGTGAGTTTGAGGTCAGCCTGGTCTAAAGAACAAGTTCCAGGAAGGCTCCAAAGCAATTCAGAGAAACCCTGTCTCAAAACAAAACAAAACAAAACAAAACAAACAAAGAACAAATCCAAAAAAACCAAAACAACAACAACAATAACAAAAAAGGGGGGGACAAGAAAGAATGTAGGTAACATAACTAAAATGATCCCATTTTAGAGGTTTAAAAACCGTGATTTGTGTGGCCATGATGTATACATGGTAACCCATCTATCTCGCTGTACCGTAGACCTTCAATGTGGATTCTTAGGCAGGGATGAGGAGGAGCGATAGAAAACATCCCGGTGTATGTGTGAGTGTGTTGCATGTCCAAAAGAGCTCCAACACATAGTAAGCAGCAATGACTGATACAAAGATTTATTAAAACCCATTTCTCCAGTGCTGGAGATCAAAAGCCACACTGGGTTACCCATTATTCAGAATATCTTAAAGTTTCCCTCTTTATCTGCCATTTTCCTTCCTTGTACTTATTTTTCCAGGAAATTATATTTCTCAAGGTCTTTATATAAAAGTTTTCCTATGAAACATGCAGACTAATAGTCAGAAGAACACCATAGGATTTACATTCCTGTAGCTTTTCTTGAGTGAAACAGTTCCTGAAACCCAAATATCCAACAATATGCTTTCAGGTAGGTGATTTTATTTATTAGAAGAAAAGACAGATATACATACTTGATTACAACAATGCTTATGAATATTGTTCACAAAAATAATAAACACAGTAGAAAATTGCTAATCCATGATGCCAATATCTAAGGGAATTTAGAGGCATGGGTGTACTAGACCTTGCTTTTTATTATTTTTCTAGAAAACACAGCTTTTTTTTATATAATTTTTTATTTAATTTTATATAACAAAGTCCAATTAAATGAAAACAAACATTTATACACAATATTTGGGAATTTGGGCGTCGTTCTTTCCAAACTACTTCCTGCTGGTAAGGGGCGCTGTCTTGGGGGATTCGAAGAAGATTCAGATATCCTAGCTGTAGTCTGTAGGGCTGTTTTGTCCAGCTGTTTGGAATGTAGGGTCAGCTTGTACTCTATTTCAGGCGGTCTGGTGTGATCAAACCACATTAGTCTGGAAGGAATCCACATCTTTTCATTTTCTGTGGAAACAAAAATAGAAATCCTTTTCCCCAGTAACTTGGAAAACACAGCTTTTATGCACAGTAGAAGCATCATAGATCATCCATGTCACAGATGTTAACGTGAAAATCCATGAATGCATTTGTTCAGGACAGCCCTATTTGCCAAACCCTATTGATCTCTTTTTTCCTTTTCTTTTTCTTTTAAAATTTTACTTTTCATTTTTATATACCAACCCCAGTTCCTCCTCCCTCTCCTTCTCTTACTCCTACCTCTCTCCTTCCCACCCCTCCCATCCACTCCTCATGAGATGACTCAGAGGTTAAGAACACTGGCTGCTCTTCCAGGGGTCCTGAGCTCAGTTCCCAGCAAACACATGGTGGTTTACAACCATCTGCAATGAGATCTGGTATCCCCTTTTCTTTTTATTTATTCTTCTCTTATACAGTACACCCTGACCAGTTTTCCTTTCTGCCACTCTTCCTAGTTCCCCCACACATCCTCTTTACCCCAGATCACCTGCATCTCCATTTTTCTTCAGAAAAGAAGACTCCTAGTGATATCAACTGATCAGGGTATAACAAGATGTAATAAGAATAGGCACAAACTCTCCTATTAAGGCTATACGAGGCAACTGGGTAGGAGGAAAGGGGTCCCAAGAGCAGGCAAAGGAGTCAGCACATTTCTCCTTCACTCTTAGGAGTTCCATTAAAACCCTAAGATAAACAACATCTATCTGTCATATCTATCTGTCTGTCTGTCTGTCTGTCTGTCTATCTATCTATCTATCTATCTATCTATCTATCTCTCTGTATATCTATATCTATGTATATCTATATATATGCAGAGGATCTAGGTCAGACCCACATGGGCTCCCTGATTGTGTCTTCAGTTTCTGTGAGTCCCCGTGAGCCCTGCTTAGTTGATTCTGTGAGCAGTATTCTCGTGTCCTTGGCTCCTCTGGTTCCTACAATCTTAAATGTCAACATAAGGATAATTCAGTGGGATAGGTTTTATTTTTTTTACTTTTACTGAAATTTCAAATAACTTTTGGT